AAAAAAAATAAAAAATCAATTAAAATGTCTAATATTTTAGTTTTGTCAGGTAAACGGACAGATGCAGTATCTTAATTTTGTAGTTCAACCAAACTTCAGTGAAATTATGTAATTACTTAGCATCATGCTGCTAGATATAACAGACTTAGGACTAAAATCAAAGATTTTCTTTTCAAAACACTCAGCTATACATTTTGTTCAATATTTTCCTTTAGGAAAGCATTAGATTCGGGAAAATGCATTTTATAACTATGAATCTATGTGAGTACATTATCTTCTTTTTAAATGCAACTTTTAAGTCGTTTGCAATATTAAGTAGTTTATCTTTTTTTTTTTTCTTTTTCTTTTTAAGGAGAGAACATTATAGACTAAAGTTTTCTTAATTATTACCTTCAATCTCATTTCTGTCTTCACTTTTCAGAACCACCACATGAGTTTGGTGTGCTATCCTTTCAGAAAAAATGACAACAAAAAACCTTGGAATTCACCCCCCCGCCACAACACACAAAATATGTTTTTAAAAAGTATGACAAAGATAATATTGAACGCTACCCCATTACAATCTTACATTGTATATCTTCCTTTTTTTTCTTTATCCATCACCATCATATAGATCTTGGAGTATAGAAAGCTATTCTAAAAATGACAAAGTACAGAATTTCGTTTTAAAACGTCACTCTTCAGATAAGCCTGATATATTTCTATTATTATATCGCCTTACTGGCGTGGTGTTGTAGAATAAGCTGCAAGGTCGGCGTTTCAAACTCACCAGCTGCTCCTCAGAAATGCTATACAAGGTTGCTATGAGTGAGAACCAACATGACGGCACTTAACAACAAAGTTACCTTGCTAAACTGTTCTCATTAGGAATTTTTAAAAAATAGTTTTAAAATTTAGAAATAAGTTTTAAATTTTTATTAAACTTCCATTTGATCTTTCTAAATTACAACAGACTAGTTAGAGAGGAGAAATATGTACACTTAAAGTGAGTTTTGAGTATTTTATGCTTGCCAAGAAGCCAAATAAAACTATCTCCTGAATAGGAAGCATGTTATTTTGTCTAGGCCATAGATAGATGGTTCAGGTAGAAGTTATACATTGTAGATTTGCAAAAAGAAACTTTTGTAATTAAGTTAACTTGAACCCATGATGATGGAAAAGAGTATGTTGTAACAAAGTCAATTGAAAATTAATGTAGTCCAAAATCCCAGGATTTAAAATCCCCCTGACTCAGGAGTAGGGGAGTTGAACAGAATTTCAGAATATTTTATTCAATATTTTCTGTTCTCCACATTGGAACGAGAGACGTCACCACTCAGATGCTGCAAGATAGAACCAGTGTAAATAGAACTCCTTTTTGTTGTAAGAGTGAAATACTGGTGGTTTAGACTAGGAATAGGTCCTTTTTTTGGTAAAGGGTCAGATGGTAAATGTTGTCAACCATGTGGTCTCTGCTGTAATTTGGCTGTTGCAGCCAATATCAGCTATTCCTCTTGTGCTGAGCCAATCCCTACTCATGGCGATCCCATGCATTACAGAGTAGAACTGCTCTTCATAGGAGTTTCAAGGCTGTGACCTTTTCTCCTGGTGCTCTACATTAACAAGTGTGAAGGCTGGTTTTGTTCCAATATCATTTCCTTTACAAAACAGTTGAACATATATGGCCCACAGTCTGTAGTTGTGTCTTTATTGGGTTGGAAGCAGTGGAGTACTGATAAATGTTTAACAATCAGCTTTTGGAAGAAAGGGAAAACTCAATTTGTAGCATTTGCCTACTTACACAGGGTAAATGTTCTAGCTGTGGATTTAGAGATACCAACTTGACCTCACTGAAAGGTGAAAGGGATGCACTATATACTATAAACCAGTATATAGTATTTCCACACTGGGTATAATAGGCATGTGGTTGTTGTTAAGTGCCGCCAAGTC